CCCAAAGTTTTCTGAAGTTTTTTCCTGTTCCTTTCCTGTTTCTGTGAAAAATGATTTTGCTGGGTCTGCCTGGAAGCTTTTGCTCATGTTGTCCCAGCTGCAATACCAGTGGCTTCCAGGATTACATGTGTTTAAACTTCAGATAAAAGATACTTCATCATGACACCCTCGGTCATAGTTGGCTAAAAGCTTAGAAAAGGAGAAACTTCTGTACATTTGAAGAAGACTTTGGAGGTTTAAAAAAGCCACTGAAACTATCCAGATGCTGAAGAAGATGAAATTCTTGCTCATTCCTCGAGCTCCCAGTTTTTTATTTCATTATTTTTGCCTTTGTCTTCACATGGCTGCAAAAAAAACCTTTACCAGTAAAAAAAAGAAGCATCTAACTGTTTCCATCAGCAATCAGCATGTTTTTAAGTGTATGTAGTTAATGCTTAATAATCATCATCATTTTTGCCCCCTCCCACTCCCCACCTCTGTGCTCATCTCTGCACCCAACCTTCCCTTCATGTCCAACAATAGAAAACTCACCAGTTAATTAAAGAATGGAGGGTCCATCTACTGAAGAGGTTTGTGACCCATACACCACAAGAGTGCAATTAAATCAAGTACCCGCTGGCAGGAGGAGAGACAGAGAGAATAAATATGAATACATTCCTTAAAAATCTGTGTGCATGTATGTTTCCTTTGATGCCAGAAGTGATGTCATTATGAGCCACAGGCCTGTGTGGAACACCTTGTTTGGGTATTTTATTTTTAAAAAAGGCAGAATAATCACTGAAGATTAACGCAACATGTTGTAAGTGATTCTTAGTGAACTTGGCATCAGGACAAATCCGTGTTCAGTACCAAAACTGGTATTGGATGCTGCTTTTTGCAATATTTATGCTGTTATAATCGCTTTTTCTTGTCTTTCCTGTGGTAATTATTATGCTCCAAGTTCCATAAAGAGCTGGCATTTAAAGTCCAGGATCAACTCAAGTTTACGGCATCAGAGATCCACAAAAATACAATCATAACCAAAGCAGAATCCAAAACCATGAAGACATTATGTAGCCATCCCCTTCCTGTGAACTTAATACCACGGGGAAGAATATCCACTGTCTGTCTACTGCAATGAGATTTCAGCTCATCCAATATGCAGAAGCAGGTATGCTAGGTCTGAATTTCAAACAGTCTGCAAAGAATCTCTTATTATCAAATGGTTCATAGAGCCAGACTCATGAATGCATGTGTTTAAGCTCAGAATGGCAGAGAGAGTGACGACAGCATCAACCACAGAACTGGAGCTGAGCTGTTTGTTGGAAATTAGATGAAGAATAATATGTCAATCTGACTCTAACTATGCCTGACTGATGTTGTCGACTTCTAAGCTGCAGGTTTTTCTATGAGAAATGTTTGATTGACTAATCCAAAAATACATAAACATGACGATGGGAGTAATGAAAAACTAATGTTACGTTTACATCACTAAAGCCCAACACATAATATAACCCCTTAACCAAAGTTTGCACTCATCCATTCAGCCAAAGCAGGCAAGAACCCCTCGGGGTTCATTTCAGCCTGGTTATGTTTTACCACAGCATAAATCACCATAATGAGCATGCAGAGTGGGAACCAGAAGAAATGGAAAATTTGCACATGGCTTAGGCAGATGGCAGATACAAAGTAGCAGCTAGTTAGCAGAGAGCAAATGCCTTAACTCAGACTGACACAGAGCAGCACAGGCACGAACATGCAAGCAACTGAAAGAGTTCAAACTTCAAACCAACAGGCAAACTTTAGTTGGTGAAGCGATTCAGCCGTCGGCGGCGGAGCGGTCCTTTAGGTTGGGCCTGGTGTTGCATGGGCAGAAAAATACCCCGATTTCTAACTTTGTGTGTGACTGATGCACAAGAGGTCATCTGAGCTTGTAAATACAACACTTCATTACACAAACCCACTTCCACAGTTTGGTCTAAAGTTAGTTGTAGCATTTGCAGTTTTCACATTAAGAGGTGGGCGGGTGAGCAGTCGTTTCTCATTTCACCTCATCATTTTCATAGATTTTTTTTTTTATTGTTGCTTGAATCACTTGACACTGATCTATGAATCACTCAAGCATGACACATGACACACCTAACTCAAGGGATCACCTAACATTCATCGTTGTGTCCACACATAACAGAAAACTCAGCAAAGAACCACTTACTTTACCACTGTTAGATTTTTCCTATTTCTTTGACTGAATCTACGATAAAAGCCAAAGGTAGCAGAAAAATACATAAAATAGCATTTTTGCACTAACAAGGTGATTCTCAAAGTGCTGTTGGCCTATGACTTTTATATTCTGGCATGCTGTGCAGAAAACAAATATTGACACAGGACCTCAGAGATGCATCTGGCCATTCTGTTGATCCATCTACTGAAGCCTCATCAGAAATGGTCTCAGGTGAAGTGTGGCTGTCAAGAAGGCTGCTAGAGCTCCTGAAATATGTTTTGCAGTCAAACGGTGCATTTTGAGTTGCCCTAATGTTTTTTCTTAACACTTCCTGACCTCGGCCTCACCCTCACTATTTCCGTTGACTGTCATTTTTAATTACATCACAAACACATATATAATCTTCTTCTACTTTGTGGAAATCAGTTATTCTGGTTTGTGTTGCACAGCTGCTAAATGTTGACATGGTCTGAAAAGTCAGTGTTAGCTTAAAAATTTGCAGTCCCTGTTTGTTTTCCTATATTTGAGAAGAAAAGACATAAAAACTTTCTTTCTGTTTTCTGGCTTTTAATTCACATTCATTTTTTTCCTCCCCAATAACAGAGAGAACCTGTCTGATGAGGCTTACAGGCTGACTTTTGTATTGAAATCCTGTGAGAGGGTAGTGGATTAGTGAGCTTCCAGTTGTCTCTTGACATCTGCCCACTTGATACCTCAAAATCTATGAATTCTTATTTAAAACACAAAGTGAGTGCGGTGTTTGTCTTTGACAGAGGGCAGAGGGGCACGAGTATCAGCCTACAGGTGCGTGCCTGATCAAAAAGTTCATGGCAGTGTTATGAGACAGACATATGGCAGCCTCATTAACACAGTGCTGAAGAGCTAAATCACACCCAGGACAGACTCAGACTGTCCACTGGCAGCCTCCCACATCTGACAGTGTCAGACCTTGGTGTAATTTGAGTGAAAGGGAGCTAGCTCACAATCCTCTCTCAACTTTCTGACACATCTTTGATTTCTTTTTTGCAGGTTTGAATTGAAAGATACGTTTTCCTCATTTCAGAGGTGGGACTGCGCTGCTGGGTAAAAAAAAAATTACTTTAAATATCCTCCCGGTGCCAGGTCACAGCTCACATAAAATAAAATAAAAAGTCTGAATAGGAAAATAAATGGAAAAAGAACAGTCTGACACAGTTACTGAATGAGAAATGAAGACCAGCGCAACAGAGAATGACAGAGAATGGCTAAAATCCATTGTTCATATACAGCAAGTGAATGATTGGTGTACAGTATTGTGCAAATATTAGTTTATTTTAATTTGTGCAGGTCCACTGGCTTTACTGACATTAAGCAACATTTCATAACAAAAGGGAGCTGCAATAAAGAACTTTATATGTTTAAAGGTCCAGGATGCAGCCGCAGGGGAGTTAGATTTTCAAGGAAGAGCCAGAGAGTGAAAATATGTTTCAAAAGTACTTTAATACCTTTCTGTAAACTCAGCGGTACCTGAACTACTGAAGAATTTAACAGGATTCACAAAAATGCTGCAAGCAAACAGCCATGTATATCTACCCAACAGGTGTAATGTACCTGAGTCCTGTATGTTTCAGCTCCAGCAAACAACAACGTTGTAAAATGAATCCTTTGACTCAGACAATTTGATGATAGCTAAAATAGATCATTAGGTTTTAATGAACTTTTAAAAGCACAGTTTGCACTTCAGGGTGTTATTATTCCAGCGTTCGAATCTGTAAAATATATATGAAAGGGATCCTCATGCTGTTACTTTCATTCTGGCCTTCAGAGACACTGAATTTTTATGTTATTTTACTTTATTTATTTTTAATCAAACATTAAAAAGCAAAGTTTATTTCAAAACTTCCACATGTGTTGTATAAACCCTACATATTCACACTCATAGTCAGTGCATCACTGTTTCGTGTATAAGTGCTGTACCCACAAGCTGTGATTCGGATTTTTTCTTTAATTAAGTACTTCATAGATTGACAAAATGATCCCACTTCTATTTAATTAAACATTTTAAAGATGCCAAGAAGACACTGGGGATGTTTTTACTGTTTAAAGAAAAGCTGTTGTACACAGAGCTCATACACATTCATCGCTGATGAAGGTACACACTCAGACAGGAGATAATATAAGCAAGTACCGTATGTTTCTGATCTTTAACACTCACGTCTATTTGATTGCATGACACATCCACGAGATTACAGTGGATCCATGTGCATGACACCAAAAGGCTTCGTTAGAAGTCTCAGAGTTTCATTCTTCTCCACTTCAGACTCATTCTGTCATAATTTCATCAGAGATCATCAGTGGAAAAAAGAAAAGATAGTCCCAGGATGATTTTCAGGCCGTCAGACATGAACACTGTCCCTGCTTTTGATCAGCTAAAGCTGTTAGAGCCTCGCTGCAGCTGGCGAAGGCACTGACCTGCAAGTTTGTTATCATCTACAGCAAACCAGTTAAAGATCCCCAAAGCGTCTCTTTACTGGATTCAAAATACTAACCCCTCATTTTCAGTCACAGGTGTATTTAAAGCTGCCACCTTTGTCCCAATCCTCTCTCTCCTAGATTGGCGTGGGTACATGTGGAAGTGTGTGTGAGCGTTCATTATGCTTTCTAAGTTTACATGCATGTTTGCGTCTTCACTGGCGTCAGCGCTGTCACTTTCTGCACCAGCACCAGGCTCCTCCCACAGGCCGAGGCTCCTCCCCCTCCCTCTCTGTCAGTATAAAGTATGGTCTTCTCTCAATCTCATACTCAGTCACAGCCTCATCAGTGGAGCAAAGCTCACTATCTTCAAATCAGCCTCTCCTGGTTTACTTCAACAGCTGCAGGTAAGGTTTAAAATATTCTCTGCAGTTTGTTTCATTTTAAAACTTCATTTTATTTCTCTGTTTTCCTGTCACAGGGGGATGGTTACACACACTCACTAATGCTTTGAGGTGTCCTGTCCCCTCATTTTCAGTTATTTATACACTGAAAATGAGAATACTGTAGACAAGTAAAGACTGGACTGGTATTTATATAGATAGTTATCCATCTATATGTCGTTTTCTTCTTTTGCCTTTTTAGAGCACCAATGAAATGTTTATTACAGTGGATCTTTTCTTCTCTTTATTTAAGTGAGTGGTGGGTTTTAATGAAAGACAATTATATTCATACACGAGCTAAACAGAATTATTAAAAGATTATACAATATTTATGATTAAAAGTCTTTAAAAAGTAACAGATGAGTAAAAATAGATCCATGCTGAAAGCTGAGCTGAAAGAGAATTATGTCTGAGTGTCCAAATGACCACATAAGAAATTTAATTTTGCCCCAAACTTTTATCTGGAGGAAAACTCTGTGTTTGTGTTTAAATGCTCACAGAAGCTGCTGGTTCTGTGAGCATCATTTGACCTTTGTCGTGGATAAAATTATCATTCCAAGAGTTGGAGTTAAAAGAAAGTAGGAAAGAAATTCCTCATCACATTTCATAGGAGCTTTTTTATTTATTTATTTTTTTTATTTTTTTTTTATCTCTGTGTATTAACTAAGTAGTGATGGGTAAAAGTGTTATTTTCTCATTTTTTTTTCTGAGGAGAGGAGAGGAGAGCTGTCACATACATTACATTATCACATCATTACCAGCCTATTATATAATGATTGAGAGACAATGACCAGCTGCTAAAAGGAATTATATTAGCATGAGCAGAATGGCTATTTACACCACAGCTGTGTCCGTTTAAACAAATTATTCAAACCAAACGTTTAACTGGACTTATGGTGATAAAATCACACAAGAAGAAATTCTCCATTTCAGTTGGTTTAAAACTGCAGAGGAGGGCGATTTCACCTGCACGTCTGTAATGATTTGACCAGTGAACAACGACTAGAAGACGTTCTGGACTGTTAACGGTACAAAAGGATCTAGACTAAGAACAAAGACTCAGTGCATAAAATAAATGAAAAATCTAAAACACTTATTTTTTTATTTGTTCTGCAAAGGTAGAAACCATGGCAAAGTTATGCTCTCCTACATATCTATGTTCTGGTGTTTATGGGCTGTAAAAAGATCATCCTTGACTTAGTAAATATATTAACACAGAGAGACGCAGCAGAGCGCTGTAACACTGTGGGGTTTTTGATTTATCTGAGACTGAAAGCCTCCAAGCAGCTTTTGCTGTTGGTTTTATCTAATTATCCACTTTAACTCATTTTCCTTTGGAAATAAATGTCGGGAGTAAAACATCATTCATCAAAGATAATATGCTGCTTTGGCAGGCTTCAAGATCAAAATAAAATAAATAAATCATCAAAATGATCTTCTAACCAAATTAATAAGAAACATCTATAAATGTATTTATTATTATGTTTAATAATATTATATGTATTTACATGAGGGGTTAAAAAGGTTTCATGCCTCTGCTTTCAGTGTGAGTAAACTTCATGTATTGATTCTGTGTGACACCGACTGTCCTGTGAGCCCCGTTCAAAAAACAGCACATAGATCAACATTCGACTATAGAGACCGCAACTCCAAACAGCACATACATATACATGTATGTGTCTGTGTGTAAACATGAAGCCGTTCTGTCACAGGCAGAGCAGGAGAGTATTTATGAAACATGAAATAATGTTTGCTGTAGTTCGAGGCAGAACCATTAAAGAGTCATCTCTTTCTCACCCGATGTGTTTAAATGACCTTAAATTGATTTATTGCTGCTTTTTGCAAAGCCAATATTGCCTGCATTGGTTTGTTTTCCCTTAGCAAGCTGAGGTGAGACAGAAAGAGAGAAGAGGGCAGATGAGAGGCAGTAAAGAGCAAATAAAGACTAACTGGAAATGTGCTATTGAGTTTGTTTAACTGTTATTCTCTCCCTGTCTCTCCATCCAGCCATGAATGTAGGCATCTGTGTTTGTGTTATCCTGGCTGCTTTGTCCAGTGGTTCCCTGAGTCTGCCTTCACAATCAATTGTAAGACACACACACACACACACACACACACACACACACACACACACACACACACACACACACACACACACACACGTACATTGCCAATTAAGGGAAGTGGAGTAGGACCCTGATTACAAACTTTAATGTCTAAATTGCTTCCACGTGGTACAATTGGATTCAATTTTCCACTGGAGGATAAATATTTTTTTTCATTTGAATTTTTTTTTTGTTTTTATTACTTTTTAAATGTGTTATTTCATAAATGTGTCATTTTCTCCACAGACAGCTGAAAGTACGGCTCTTCTCTCAGGCAGCGGATCTCTCCCTTCTCCCAGCCTGAAACGGCAGGCTCGCTCCGCTCCAGCGCCCCTCTCAGGGCATCTTATCAACTACAGCCAGCACCAAGAGGACGCAGACACTCCAGACAGCCTGAACCTGCTTCTGGCCAGACTCATCTCTAGGAAAGGTGTGATCAGACGTATGACTGCCGATACAGAATAAGAGAACAAAGGATGGGAAGAGAAAATGAAATGACCGTCTTTCCCTTTTCCCTTTACTTGTCATCTCATTACATGCTCATATTTCCCTCTTCCTCACATCCATCCTTCTGCAGCCTGCGTTCATTCATGCTGTGTTTCAGTCCCACCATCTGGCATTTCCCACCTCCCTCTGGCCTCCTCTCTTCATCTTTCCACGCTTGCTACTCCCCTAACATTTCTGCCTGCGCCCTCTATCACAGTCGTCTGCCTACCTCCTGACCTCACTCTCTGCTTCCTCTGTCACCGCGCATCGTTTTTTTTCTTTCAAGTAAATGCTGTGTGACTACGAGACCTGCTGAGCTCATGGACAGAAATAGAAACACAGCGAGTCAGCATGAGTTAGATCAACAGTGCCATTTGGAAGATAGACCGTATATTATTATCATACAGTATGGGTAGTTTAAAAAAAAGAAGAATAACAACATAAGTTTTATGAAATGCAGTGAATGTTTTCTTTTGTTTAGTTTGTTTCATCCATGTCTCCTCTAGGCTCTGCCTACCACACCAGATCCTCCCTCAGCAGCAGAGCCAGTGGTCTCCCCCCCAACCACAGGATAAAGGACAGAGATTATCTCGGCTGGATGGACTTCGGACGGCGTAGTGCAGAGGAGTACGAATACTAGTCCTGAAGGCTTTGTTTCTTCGAACACGGAGCCCAAAACCTCCAACATCACCAGTTAAAGTTTTTATTTTAAAAAACCTGGAGCCCTTTTCACACTGCACTCTCAGCCCACCAGAACTGACTTAGTGAGAAGTATATCTCAGCACATATCCTTCAATCTACGAACCACAAACTTCAATCCAAAACTTACGGCACATTATTGTATATCTGTGTTGCTGTTAAGACCAAAGGTAGCAATGCTTGTCCATCCCGCCGTGCTTTCTTAGTCCCTCACTCTCTCTGTGGTTTGGATGGTAATCACTAAAAATGAGTCACAAAAAAAGTTGTTTCATGAAAAAAAAGTGTTTTGATTTCTTAAAATATGGGGTCACTGTAATTTTCTAACCAGCATAGAGTTTTTAATTTGTTTGGCAGTACTTTCTTACTTAAAGTTACATGAGTAGCTCACGATCTGCTAATGCTATTAGACATTGGTTACACAGCAGATGCTTGTTAGCATAAATTCATTGTTAGTTAAGTTGTTTTTGACAAATGCAATGTTAGCTTTTTGGTGTTAACAGATCAGTGAAGAAACAGTAGGTCTGGTATAACAATGGGAAATGCCACATTTCCGTTTCAGTGGATATACAGAGCTTAACTAAGAAATCACAAATATTTTAGCAATGAGTCAAAACTTGTTTAAAACGAAAAAAGATCATTTATCATGTTTATATGACTAAATTTAAGCCAGTGCTCTGAGAACTGCACTAAAAACATCATTTCGATTAATATGCTGCTGCTATTACAGAAACATTAAAAATGATTTTGGCAATTACCAGTATTGTTAATTTAGGGCTTCTGTGACATTAAACTTACACTGGGTGGAGATCTAATTAATTTGTTTAGCACTGTAAGTCCAACAACTTCAACTGTTAAAAGGCAAAAATTACAAAAAGCTGTTAAACATAACACCCTTTAAATATATTTCCAGTGAGAAAAATCAGTGTCTTAGGATTTAGACATTCGTATTTTAAAGTACTGTTAAAATGCTTAATTTTACTGAGCGTTACTGTATGAATGTATCTGTAGACTTTTAATGTGCCCTTAAGGTGTCCTCTGCAAACGAATCTTCATAAAATTACACAATAAAAAAACAAAAACGACACAACAATAAAAAGCATGTTGTTTCATATCACACCATGCTCAACACTGAATGTGACACATCATTCAAAAATCTTTGATCGTGCTAGAAACTGGGAGAACTGGGTGAAAAGTGGCTAACATGGCAGGCTGCTGCAGTGTGCAGTGTGAAAAGGGCAAAACAGGTTTTGACAAGCACAAAGTGTTGTCTGTTTGATACCTGGGAGTCTCCCTGACTTTGCATAATGGACTTCAGTGGCAGACACAATAACATCAGGATGCTGCAGATATTAAATCTACAGATTAGAAATGTTTTCTTTTCTTTTCTTTTTTTAAAGGCCTTTATTATATATAAAGGTTAACTCTCTGTATTAAATCATTTGTTTCTACAGATTCAGTGAAACTCCAAATAAAGCTTTGTTTTCCTCCAATGTCAGCAAGAAATTCAAACGCTTTCTTTTCAGTCTCATGATCTTATGGTTTCAGGGCACAGGTGGTGGGGCAGTTCTCTATATAGTGTTAGATTTGATCACTGCAGAAGAGAAAGAATGGATGTCTCTTTTTTTTACAAACCTTTGGTGCAACCCAGTGTGGGATTTCAGCAAAAGAAAGCCAAAACATTTTCATTTGTGCCCACTATAAGTAAAATAGCTTTCCCGGGATTAGCATTGGGACAAAGGAGCTGGTAGCTAGAAAAGGTTATAATTTAAATCAGACTTAAGTCTCAAAGAGCTCATTTTGCCTTTAAAAGTGTTTGTGTTCGTGCCTGGGGATTAATTAAAGTGGATTATGTTAATGATCTGTTAGTCCTAACGCAATGAAGTTAGGATGAGTACTGTGAATAAAATAAAAAGCCCTAAAATAATAAAAACAAATCTCCTGGTGAAATGAACTAAATGCTGATGAGGGGCAAAATAAAAAATTATCTTCCTCACAAATATGAAAACAGAAAGACAAATTAAACTCTGGCTCTGTTTCTAATTAAATTTGTACTTGAAGTCTTTGTGTGTGAAACTGGCAAAAGTGATATAAATATACTGATAGGTGCTCTTTGATGAACATGTGGAAAGGAATTCTCTTCCGTTTATCCAATTTAAAGTCACGGGGAGGCTGGAACTGACCCCAGCTGCCATAGAGCGAGAGGAGACACCCCGAACAGGTCGCCTGTTACAGGACCAATGCAGAGAGACAGATAATCATTCATAGATTTATCAACTTACTGTGATATTAACTTACCAATATTGGTTATGATGTTATGCCAATGAAAAATCCCATCATAGCTTAAAGACCTTACACTAAAATATTATCACAATAGAGTACTTCTGTCCCAGATTGCAGGTTTACTTGTGATTCATTCAAATCTACTGGAAGTTGGACCAGTGAGGCCATGAGATAAGTGAACCATTTTGAAGAAGAAGTCTCACAATTACTAAGATACACTACCTGGCTTAGCTTTGATTACAGCAGGCATTCGCTGTGGCATTGTTTCAAAAAGCTTCTGCAATGTCACAAGATTTATTTCCATTCAGTGTTGGATACATTTTTTTTTACCAACATCTTGTACTGATGATGGTAGTGTTTTTTCTTTTACCTTTCAATACGGATGGTCTGTTTATGTTTTGATCAAGAGCCTTTTTTTGGGCAGCTGAAGAGGAGAAGTCTATCTTATGTCCAACCTCTGGCTGTATCTTGGTCACATTACCCAGCAAAACCCAGTATGCAGGTTCATCTGTAACAGTCCTTGTGCCACAGATCAACACTGTTGCTTCTACATTAAACAGAAGAGCAGCGACGTGGGTGCAGGTCTCCGCGACTCCGGCCTTACAGCTGCAGTGGGCGGCTTCAACCTTCCCTGTGATGCTCACAATGACCCATGGCTGCAATGCTGGTTCATTCAGTCTTTGAGAGGGCAGTACCTGAAACACACACAGACCCCAACCCCAGATCACAGCACTGCCCCCACAGACTTGTACAGTAGGCATGATGGGTGCATCACTTCATCTGCCTCTCTTCGTACCCTGTTGCGCCCATCACTCTGGAACAAGGTAAATCTGGACTCATCAGACCACATGACCTTCTTTCATTGCTCCACAGTCCAATCTTTATGCTCCCTAGCAAATTGAAGCCTTTTTTTTCGGTTTGCCTCACTGATCAGTGGTTTTCTTTTGGGCTCCACATCTATTCAGTCCCAATCTGTTGAGTTCCTTTTGCATTGCGTGTGTGGAAATGCTCTTATTTTCACTATTAAACATAGCCCTGAGTTCTACTGTTGTTGTTGTTGTTTTTTAAAATTAGATTTCACCAAATGTTTAAGTGATATCCGATCACAATAAATTTTTTCTGGCCACGTTTCTTCCTCGAAGACGATTGGGTACCCACAACCCTTCCACTTTTTAATAATGCGTTGGACAGTTCTTAATCCAATTTTAGTAGTTTCTGCATCTCCTTAGATGTTTTCTTTTATCGATGCATGCCAATGATTTGACCCTTTCCAAACACTATCATCTTTTCCACGACCACGAGATGAGTCTTTCGACATGGTTGTTTATGAAATGAGAAGCAACTCATTGCACCAGTTGGGGTTAAACAACTTGTTGCCAGCTGAAAGGCAATCGCCCATGCAGTAATTATCCAATAGGAGGGCTTGTACCTATTTGCTTAGTTAAATCCAGGTGGTTACCTTTTTTTGGCCAGGCAGTGTAATTACATTACTAATTTACAGACTTACGGACACATTTAAAAAAAAAAGAAAAAAAAAAGTGGTATTGCAGCATATGAACAGTCGATTACTGGATACCTTAATGACCTCCACAGACTGTTGTGTGCAGTAATTACCTCATTGATTTGTTAAAAAGTGCAAAGATGTGTGAGAGATGAATTGTGGGGCTTCTGTGGGAACAGCAGGAAAAAGAAGACTCACACATGCTTGGAGTTGAATTTTCACAAACTTGTAATGAAAGATACTTTTCATTTTTGCCTTTATACACAAATACAGCTCATAATGTTGCCTGCTCTATTACGTGCTAACATTCACAACATTCATTCATATTCAAGTGACTGACTTTGATGTGCCGTCACAGAACTGTCACCACTCTATGTTTTCGTGTGCAGAACACAAGAAGGACCAATGTAATAGAACACAACATGGTTATATTACCTTAAGTAATAATTTGGTAACCCTCTGTTTACATTGAAAACATGTTGAATGATCGTGAAATACTCATTGGTGGCATTGCTTGACTGATTTTTCAGCGCAGTTTCATCTGTTGTTGGATAAAGAGAGATCGTCATTGAGCTGCACTTGAGGACAGTATGAATGTAACTGTTAACATGCTTCCTGGTTGGAGGCTCATCGAATACACAAGAATATTGTAGCTCTCTGTTGGAGTCATCTGAAGTTTTTCACTTTCTATTCTAAGTTTTCTGCATGATTACGGTGAGTACACCTATGTCACCCATATGAAATAAGAATTTCAGCTAAAATTTATCTTTATTAAAAAATGGTGGCACGTGTTATCTGCACACAGGATGAAAATGTCTCTTTATATAGACAGGTGGGAATCTGCTGGTCTCTTAGCTCAGATTTATCCAGCCAGTCTCGTTCAAAGTCCTGAACTCAGTTGATCTGCTGTACCATTTTGAAAAAGGTATTTTAAAAAAAACAACAAAATGACTAGTTATGTTATAATGGGTCTGTTTATTTATTCGTTTTAGATGCACTGATTACCATCGTCCTCACACACTCTATTGAAAACAGACATGCACACATTCACGCTCCAACACGCAGACACATTTGAAATAATCACCATCTGACATTCAGAACATGTTAAAAACCAGGAAGACATGAAACAATCAATATCAGTTGTACAAAGTTTACAACAACAGAACAATACCAACTACCCTAAACCGAGCCATAGTGTTAGAAAGTGCAGGAGGCCACGAGTCCCTGTTTGTAGGGCTAGCAAAAACAGATCCAGGAGCAGCTTATGTATGCGATTAATACATTTATAGTGTGAATGTGAGGATTAAGAGACAAATGTGTCTCAATTGTTCAAGTGCAAAAGTAAACAGGGAAAAATAAAGAAGACTTGTGATGCTGAACTTTGGAAGAAAATTAGCAGAGGTTTGCCGGCCAGCTCCCCAAACAGGAACCGCACAGCAGGGCTTAAAAGTGCAACGGAAATATCAGAGGTAAACTTTACAACAAACGATGCATCGCTATCACCTTAATCAGAGTTTCTGGAAATTTCTGCCCCAAAATCGATTTGAATGTGGATGCACAACATATTATTTTCGACTTGTCTTTGAGCACATTGATTGGAGACATAAATACTAAGGTCCTGTGTTCAAGTCATTCTCGTATAAGACACTGCTCACACACATATTTACACGCACACCCACATCAGTACCTAAAAGCACACAAATAGAGGCAACAACTGTAAAACTAAACAAGCATCAAGTGCTTTCGAAGCTAGAATAAAGGAAAATCATTAACGGCATTGCTACAATATAATGAGGCTGTAGATATTTGGCATTGGTTTCATCACGTTTAGCTGGACTGTTTGACAAAGCAACACTAGGTTAGTAACCTTTTATTGGCTACAATTGTCTTTTTGACAATTATTAATTGGAATTGAGTTCGTTTTCTAAATAATGTGACACCTCTCAGCGTTATGGATTGATAGGATTTTGGCTGGTGTGTTTATGAGGGTTGACACAGGAGGTTTGGCAAAGATTTTTTTTCCCAGGCGATTAACGTGTACGCGTGAGATTAATGTGAAGTTCACGTGAAATTAAAAAACAAAATTAACCATATGCTGATAAAACAAGACAATCAAAGCAGTTTTAAAAGCCTCGGCTGAAGACATGACTGTTACAGCTGTAGAGATGGTAGTGATTTATAAACAGCATCATTAAACAGTGATGGTGAGCCTGGCATTAGTCAATAGGCAAACTCTTACCCAGTTCCCATTACTGAGCTTGAGTCCTGCTGGTTATAGAAACACTAACAGCTACTGGCTGGTTACTGGTGGCTGATTTAGTGGCTAAATGATATGGATTAATTACTCACATCCTCCAGACACACTGTCAACCCTTCAAATCTGATCTGCTCCAGCTCTCGTGCATTTATTTTTATTTTATGCTTCACTTTAAGACATCCACGTGGAACCACAAATCTAATCGATCTAAGCACGTTTCACAGGGTCTTCACTGAGGGCAGGGAAACAGCTCAGCAGTGGCTAAAGATTCAAAAGGTGAGGGGGAGGGTGGGGTCTTTAGTACACCAAAACCAAGCTCACTAAACTGCAACTACCTGTAACGGAGATTTTCTGGAACTAAACTCCACATTCACTGACATGGTCACAAAATGCTGCCATGACTACACACACACACTAGCTACCAACCACGCTCACGTGAACTAGTCATGTACTTCAAATGTGCAACTTTCACTTGCTCATATATATATATCTGTATTCAAAGAAACTATATTTATTCTAAAAAAGTTTTACTCAAGTTTAAATGTATTTTCATGTTCGCATTAGAAACTTCACGTATAATATATTGATCGAGAGAACACAGTGTATCTCGTTGTCGCTGTCACACTGACAGGATGCTACAGATGAGGTCTATCTGTAAAGAGCAGCACAGTCCTGGGTCACTAAAATACCGTTAAGAATCGACTCTTCCTTCAAGTACCAGAGTAAAAGGTGAGAGGGGCTAAATTAAGACTATAAGAGCTAAATGCATCTGCATGTGTGTGTGACTGAGTGTTTTTAGTTTTCATTGGCATGATCATGTGACCGTTTGGTTTCGTACTCCTCACTTCTTCCTCTTTGGTCCCTGTTCTGGTCTTAATGAAAGTCTGCAGTTAGTTTATTTGGATAACTTGAGAATGACTGCACACTGGAACACAGAGTGCTGAATATTTAAAAAAAACAATTAAATTACTATCTATACTGATCGACCACTGATGTGTAAAGGAATTACTAGTATTTGTATGTGTGTGTCAGTGGAAGTGTCCCATGGCTTCAGCAGCCTTCACTCTCACAACAGGATCTGGATCTTGAAGCAGCATCACCAAACCTGTAAACGAACGCACACAAATATTAAAACCAGCAAACAAACAGAATGAGATCAGAGAGGAAATGAAGGGATTTTTTCACTTTACCTTTAGTGATGGTGCCCATGTTGAGGTGGGAGTGATGCTCCTCTTGAAGATTTCCCAGCATGAACCCTGATGATGGATACATTATCATCATCACATGTCATCTGTAAACTATCATACTGTAACCTAACTGACACAGAGGCTGGTTTTCATTTGACACTTCGTGCTTATTGATAGAACTTCAGTTTATAATATGGAGTGATCTTTTAAAGTGCAGTGATACCTATAAACATGGCAGCTCCTGCTCTGACCTCAGGCCAGTTACTCTTGAAGAATTGGATGACTGAAATGTGGTAGAAGTTCAGCATGCCAGGAAAGTCCTGAATCTGCAACCCACAAAACACACAATAAGCATCACAAACGAGCATCTATATTATGATTTATTGTAACTTTGCGGTGAGAAAAGCAAACATCAGGACAGAAAGCTGATAAAATCTAAAACTAATGGTTTGAATTTATCTCCCCACATATAAATAAGCTTAACTCAGACGGTCTCTCAGCTCACCAGGTATTTTGTGAGGTCGTTGATGAATTCTCCGTAGTGCAAGCTCTTATCTTCATGTAGGTGGTTCTGAAACATGGCTGTGATCTGTTCTGATCCCACTACAGGAGCACACACTCGCATCGCATACTTACACGCCTAAACAAACAAACAAACAAATCCACTTTTACATGACAGCATGTAACAGCTCACCCTCTAGTACTAAAGTGTATCTGCAATAAGAGAGAAAGCTGCTGTCACAGTTTGTGTGTGCTTTCCAACTTTACCTTAACCACCTCCGGGTTTGGATCAACCAAGTGTAACAGCAGGCTGACCAGAACATTGTGGATCTGGTCTTTGAACACTTGCTCTCCTGAGCCAAACGTGGACAGGTTACCCATGAGATGGATGGAAGTACAGCGGATGTCATCGTTCTCCTGGTTGAGAGTCAGAAGCTGCACTTAGCATTTTATTTAGACAACTAGAGAAAGTGCATTGCCTGTTTCATCGTCTCATGTAGGTTGGAATGGGAAATTTCACTTTATGAGGCACAGAGGTGTAGGCAGGTACACAGGTGTGCCTACAAAAAGGGCCCTGTTAGTAGGCACACCTGCTGAAAAGCCACAAAGGTACAGGTGTGTCTCATAAAGCCTCCTTGCATCTGAATATTTAAAAAGTCATCTTCTCACAGGACTGAACAAAGCTTGAGGAATCTAACTGACCTCAGATGTGAATGAACTTTTAAGAAATATTGATATAAAATACAACAAAATGCTACTTTATTTAGATTAACATTTGATTAATAACATGATACAGGACATATATAAAGACCAAACTTACACTTTCCAAGAAAGGTTTAATCTTCATGAAGATGTAGACCGCGAGTAGGTGAACGTTTTTCTTGTCAAGGTGGACAAGAACTTTAGACAAGCCTGACATGGCCTCAAGTGTGATCAGTTTACCTGTTTCAGTTTATATAGAAAAAAAGAGAGAGCTCTGATTAATGACTGTACCATGTACGCTTTAAGAAACACTGCAGTGAATTAGATACAAATGTTTATTAGCGTTACCTTTTTTCACTTGTAACTCTGCTGTTGACTTACCTGGATCATCTTTCTCCTCCATTCCTGAACTCATGGCTGCCAGCAGCTCCTTGGCATATTTATTCACCTGATATGAAAGTTACATGTGAGTGAGTGTCGTAACAGTTAGGGTGGCTAGTGTGAGTGCTGTGAGTGTGCGTACCTTTTCAGGTGAGCCCACGGCTATGTTCCCCAGCCCTCGCACAGACAACATGCGGACCGTGCAGCATGGATCTGATATCCTCTCCATCATGTTGTTCATTAACACATCTACTAACATCAGCTCTGTCACCACATGATGGTTCAACAGCTGGAGTCACAAGATAAGACCGTGACAAAAGACATAAAATAAATAAAAAACATTATTTTATTGTTGTTCTCCTGCTGCTGGCCAATGAAGCTGCTAAAGATACTCATTTAGTCATTTGCAATTTAGATATAACGATAAGAATTGGAGGCATGTAATCACTGGGTTTATCACCTCAGAAAAGAAAGCAGTGACAGTGATTCGCTGGCATTCATAGATATTGTTCAGTAATGGACACAGACACTCCACGATTGCAGGCAATCTGGGACCAGCATGCTTAGCCATCGCCCTAAGGACAAGGCAAACAAACGCTTGTTTACAAAGACACCATAGTACATTTAGAGCACATTTAAATTAACATTTTAACTCCTAATAAGACAGGGTTTGGATAAAATGCAAAACAAGGGCATAGTGTTTCCAGTGTACTGTTTTAAAAGAGATTTACAGCTTTACTGGTGTGCAACATGAAGATATCTGTACCTTGCTAGCAGTGTCACTCCTTTAACATGTGTACTGGCTTCCTTCACTGCATCCCAGGCGTTATCCTCATCCAGTTTTTTCATCACCTCATCTAACTGGGCTCGTGCTAACAAAATTCTCAGCGCTTCAGCTGCTACCCTGGAAGAGAAGAAAGGATTGGATCCAAAAGTTCACCCACAGAAACACCTGACATTCTAACTTGACAGAGATTTTATTTATTTATTTTATACATAAAAAAAGACGAGTACCCTGCGACGTGGATGGAGGCAGTGTGTTTTGAGTTGCTGTCCTTTGGTGCTGAGACTCCGACGCTCGCTCCCAGTCGCACAGTGAGGCAGGAGAATAGCCGAGGGAACAGACTGACCGCTGGCTCCTGACTCTGACCGTTTAATAACAGCTCCTTGAGACCGCATGTCATCTGAATGACAAAAGTCACACAACATTCACACCCATCAATTATCTATAGTAAATTTACCAAGTTTAAAAACAGCACCAGAAACTAAACACAAGCCAATTTCTTTGTACCTATGTACAAGTCTGTACAACAGACTTTCATGATATGCGTGCGTCCGGTGCACAACAATTGCATCTCAATTTAAATGTAGTGAGTCACTTTGTAACTTACAGCCAGTGGCTGATTAGTAGCCACCTTTGTTGTTCCTCCTCTCATCAATGACTCCTTCTTGTCTACGTAGGGTGCCATGATGCTAAGTTTCTCCATCACCATCTCCATGATCTGATTAGCTACAATGGGGTCTGCTCCCAAAGCCATCCACATCTCACTGATCCAGCTGCACGAACAAATACGCTTCATGTTCACACATGTCCCAAAAAATATCTGTTACAGCTAAAATATGAGCAATTCTTTCTTATATTAAGACAAAAAACAGCTGGCATGTGGTCATGCTGAGGAAGAGGATTTAAAGGTTCTTTATACTTACTTGTCATAAGGAAGTGGTTGGTTGACTAGTGTATTGATAACAGTCTGTAGATGCTGAGAAGCCAGGATAAGTACCGTTTGTCCCACTGCCACTCTCACCTGAACATAATACAATAAAACAGTTATTCTTAGCAAAGCGAGTGAGTTCATTAAGTACCTGCAAGAACACAAAGTAAGAGAGTTGTGAAGTAAACGGCTCATCATTGCAAAATAGGGCTCAAAGGTATTCTTCCAATTTGCTCTTTGTTATTTTAACATGGGGATAAATAAGAAATCCTTTAAATTGTAAATGCTGATAACGCTCAATATCTGAATAATTTAAGTGTGTGATATATGAATTGTGCATTCATGTTTGTCTTTACCTGGTCCTCTGTGACGCTCTGCAGACGCACATGCAGCACCTCCAGCATCTCTGGGACCTACATACACACCAAACAACACAGAAACAAACATTCGCTGTGTTTGGTGATCCAGCAGGACAGCAGCAGGTAAAGCACTTCACTGTTACAGTTGCAAAACCATGTCTGTGAAGCTGGTTACATTTAGCAGGACTTTTGATTTGATGTCATCTGTACGGCCATCAAGATCATTTTAGACAAACACAATCTAACTAAACCAGTAACAGCTATACTTTCCATGTCCTGCTTAATTCTCAGAAACATTTCATCAACATTTCTGGGATGTCTTGACCTAACAGGCCTCTACAGGTCACACCAGATCATGTGAATCAGGTAAGAGCTAAGAGGCTCAAAAAAAAGTGGAATTTCCTCCTTTCTTTGTCTTTTTTTTGTAAACCACTTTGCTGTTTAATTCTGTTCTGAATTTATTGCTCACTCATTGATTCAAAGATTTCTTGGCCCTTGGGTTGCAAAGCAGCCAATCTTGAGTTTTTAAATGTAGTTTGTACCTTCTAAGTGGTCTTTTTAAAAAAACAAAAAAAACAACTTTCCCCTTCATTAGGCGTTTTCTCGATCAGTGTTTTTTTATGAATACATGAACAAAGACTTTAACAAGGTTTAAAGATTTGCAGTGCCGTTTTTTGCAGCCCTTTGGTCTTCTTCAACTCCCAAGACTGAGTGTTATTCCCTTTGATGTTTGAAGGACGCCTACTCCCAGGAGAGTAGCAGTAGTCTTAAATTGTATTCACTTGTAGACAATTAGTTCTTTTCGCGGGCTGAATAACATCCAGATCTTTAGAAGTGCTTGTTGCTTTGTTGTTGCTTTTCCCTGCTTGGCGGATCGCTCAAATGCCTCTTAAGGTTCTGTGAAAGCTATCCCCCAAATTTGTGAGTAGGCAAATGTTGTATACATTTATTTATAAGGAAATGTCAGTGATTCCAGAGATTTCTCTTTTGCAACTTTATATCATATGCAATGACTGTACAGGCATAAGAAAATGCAACTAAAGGCAGTCCGTGTGTTACCATATCTTGTAGTCCGCCTCCTCTGTTCTTGAGCAGAGTATTCAGAATGACAGTTGAAGCTCGGCAGCAGTTTGTCTGGCTGTCGACGAGCCCTTCAAACAGCATGAACACCAATGTCGTCAGCTGCTGCTGAGGCAGACGCTTACTCATCACCTGATTTCATGCAGGGAAAGATGCAGTTACACACACACACTGCGCATCTACATTATGGTGGACAGAGTGTGACAGACTATACGCATTACAACAGATAACTGCACAAACATATTGTTGAGTGTCATACTGAAAGATAAAAATCCACACTGGCAAGAAAACAAGTATTGAGCACGAGCAATAAAGCAGTTTGCAGCTCTCCTGCGCGTACCTTGGTAAGGTCTGAGCAGGTCTTGTACAGAACTGAGTGGTCAGGGTTCTCCAGCCGATCCTTTAACAACAGCAGAGAGTCCACAGATTCATCCTTATAATCCAAAGAGAATCCTAGGAACAGGGATAGAAATATTTAAATAAGTTTTACACTGACAATAATTATTCACAGTTCAACTCCAGATTATCCAACCCCTGCTCCTTTTATAAACTAATTACAAAATAACAGACAGGGTCTCATCATTGCCTCCTTACCTTTCCCCACTTTATGACATGGTACTTCCTTAAAACAATGTATAAAATGTCAAAGCGTTACATGACTGTACCTTCATATCGAAGTTGTATATAAAGGAGTGTGTGTATGCACTCGACGGCAGCAGCGCGCACGGCAGGGACAGGGTCCGAACAGCGTGGAGACAGGCGGCCCAGCAGAGCTCCAAGGTTGTGGAAAGACACCATGTTCTACACAAAGTTTTGAGTTGTTAAATGGTAATTACACGATTATCCATTGAATTATAAAAACATTTTGTCACCAATATATCTGCCCTATGTTTGTGTGTGTACCTTGACAGTCAGGTTATCCAGGTAGTAAGCCAGTATGTGAGCTGTGGCTGTGATAGCTCGCTCCCTCTCGTGGTCCTGTCCAGAACTCAACCATGATTCAATGTGCTGCACAAGGAAGTCACATCAAGAAACGCAGGTTACATACACTATGGTAAATGGCCTGTATTTGTATAGTGCTTTACTTTGTCCTTTACAAGAGCTTTACACGTACACTACGATATGATACTGGCATGTTAAAGTCAATCATTACTGTATGGCAGTCTACAATACTTAAAGATTTTTATAAAGTTATGAGCAGGACTGACAGAAACTAAAATTAAAAGCAGAGAAAGAGCAATTTGTATCATGCACTTAAAACCAGAAATAAATAGTGCTAGAATCACCAGATACCTAATGAGACAATATTGTCACTATACTTCACTCACAATATAATATTATTGTACTTTTAACATATGCTGAATATATTCAAAAGCATATTTTGGAATTTAATTTTCAGTTTAAACTATTTCAGTATTTGTTTTACTCTATAAGATAAAGTTATTGCCTTTATTTTTTGTGCTTTAAATGAGATTGTTAAGCAGATCCTGCTTTAGACCCTTCACTAAAACCTGCTGTCAATGCTGGAGCGTGAGGAGGCTGCTGTGACTGAGCCATCAGCGTGCTTTGAAGTAGGAGCTAGCTTTAGTCAAGCTAAGTGTGTCCAGTGTTGGACAGTTTCTCACTTGCATTAAACTGAGTCAACATTATGTCAGGATGATGGTAAGAGAGTATTTCAATTATTTTTCTAATAGAAGTATTATGTATTTAATAGAATATTGATATTTTGTTTCCCTTAATCGATCTATTATCACCATGTATGATACTATTCTGTATTGATTTTATTCCCCATTCTTCTACTGCTCGACCAAAACTACTAGTAAAGATTTTCATCAGCCCCTTAATCTTATGACAAAATGACCTCATTTATTTTTTAAAAATTAAATAAATAACATATTGAATAGCCAAGTGAAAACAAGAGCATTTGCTGAAGCGGCAGGCTTCACCTTAAAGATATTCTGTAAACCGTCGGGTGTTGGATCTTTAGCCAATACGCTCTTCAGCAGCTCCTGCAGAGCAGCCAGCGTGTCTTTGTACAGCGCCTGTAGAGATCCACCAGAATATATTGGACTGACAGCATGACAGCATTTAAAATACTTGGCTACAATGACAGACAAAGTTTGCTATAAAGATCAGAGGTGGTACAAACAAACTACAGCAGATCTCAGTCTACCTCACTTCACCTTTCTCTGCTTGGGGTCGAGCGGCTCCTCTTCTTTAGTTTTCTCTGGAGTGTTCGTCTCAGCTGGCAGACAGAACACACTGTTGATACACACCTTTAGCAAGTCAAAGTTCTCATTCTCGCTCATCGGAGGGTCCAGTGGACTGAGGCATTAAGGTCAAAGATAAAACACTGGGAGATGACAGAGCTTCAGTCACTGATGATTCATTTCACGTCAGCAAAGTGCTGCCTCGTATTTGTCTTCTGTTGACTTTGAGTTCTGTGGTTATCATTTAAGTCTGCAAAAGGAAGTCACCCCAAATCAAAGTTTTACAGTTCATTCAGTGCAAACAGTAAGATTAACTACTACAAACACTCATTTATTAGTAAGCGCTCTGTACATATATTCAGTAGCTGTTAGTCTCTATTATTAAGGGACTTAATTTGTGTCATATTACTCTGCAAAGTTCAGTTTCTTCACTGAAGTGAAGGATACATAAGGTTGGCACACGTGCTCATCACAAGCTGGCGTACTGGAGTCCTCAGTGCATCAGCTTGCTCTGCCTTAATGAAGTCCTGACCAGTGAAAAAAATAAAGACAAGAACATGTCTGCTGTTCTTACTGTCTGCAATTACTGTGTAACAAGAAGCTGGCCCTTAATTTCCACTGACCAGCATAACAGTAATGAGCTCGTGCTTGCGAGAGAAGATGTAGCCCTGTTTCTTCACACACTCACTGATGGCTCTGGCTATGAGGCCAACACTCTGGATCAAACTGAGCTTCATAGTCAGGTCCTGTATTGGGAAAATGCAGAGATGACGGTGCACAAAATAAAGACAAATGACGCACAAAGACATATAAAAAAACAACAACAAAAAAACAAAGAGAGAAAATGATTCGGGTCAAGAGGCAGTCCCCATTATCAAGAATGAACAAGATGCTCTGCAAACCTGTTTTAGCAGACACAACTCTACACAAAGCTTAGTAAAAATAAACAATAAAATACATATAATAATAAATCACTCAGCTAATTAATTAAATCAATCCAACATGTATATTGCAGATTGATCCTCCATGCCTATGGATGGAAAGAAATGTGAGGTGATCAGTAGAACAACACAACATCTGCAAGCTCTCATCAGTAAGACATAAAAGGCGTTCACACAGCGTGCGAGTCACCAGTGAGTAATGTAACAGCAATCAACCTTTAAGCAAATAAGGCAAAAAAAAAAAAGAAAGAGTAGAGCTTATAGTGAAGAACAGAGAGAGACGGACCTGAAGGTGTTATTTATGAATGTCACCCTGACTAGAACAATGCTGTAAACACAGCTGTTTCTTTGCCCCAAATGATTATAATCACAAGACAAAATGTTAACAGCTTAACAGCACGCACATAATACAATATTGTCGTAAACCTGAATATTATTTAGGAAGGACTAATGTAAGAAAGGTGGTCTGCTAGTTTCTTATCATCTGCTCTTTGTAGCTGAGAGCCGACAACAAAAGATAAAAACATCTTTCAAGCTTTCCCGAAGTGAGTGTGTGAGATATTTTCAGTGATGCATCACTTTGAAGCTACATTTCCCAGAAGTACACCACGGTCCCTTATTGCAATAAGAAGTGATGCTCAATATGGTTTCCGACGGTTCAACAACCAAATTTAGCTGGGATATATTTTAGTCTCATTGCTATTACGTGATTGTAAAAAAGTTTTAAATTGCATTTTAAAAACCAACATAAACTCCACCACCACACTGGAAACATGTTAGTGATCGATCATACATGAATGCCTTCAGAGGACAGTAAAGTCTGGTGCTCTTGCACCGTGAAACTTCACATGTATGCAGTGAAGCTGGGTTGAAGCATAATGAAAAGGCTGTTTTACTGCACAGCGCTCTCAAATTGAAGACTTTCATGTATGATTTTAGTGACAATATCACCAAAAGTATGCAGATTTTATGCAGAAATATATTAAGAAAGGAGGGTGAGATCAAACTGAAGAAAGAGGAAATGTTAACTAGCAAGGATTAAAGACAAAGCTCCTGGATTCCTGTGACGATACCTTTGTCTCTACTTTAATCCCCAGAACCTGCATAAAGAAAAGGTGATAAGGAATGAGCTCACATACAAACACAGCCCTGATTCCTGCAGGATTCAGTCAAATAATAAGTTCATCAATAAGCTGTTAAAATTAAGAGTTTCCTTGTTCACTGCCTGTAGCATCAGACCTGGATCTTAGCTCAGTTTGCTGTTTTTTCTTTCTTCTCATGAACTGTCTGATCACCTAAGTCAGCGGTCCCCAACCTTTTTAGCACCACAGACCCGTTTAATGTCAGACAATATTTTCACAGACTGGCCTTTAAGGTGTTGCGGATAAATACAACAAAATAAAATGATACGACCAAGACAAAAACTGTGGTATTTTGTAAATATAATAATAAAGGCAAATTCACTGTGTAATTGTGTAACTTTATTAGCAGCGTCCACCTGAAATGCGCCGACAGCATTGAGAGTAACATCCTCCTCTCTGCCCCTTAATGCTCTCTGGTCACTATGGTAATGCGTAAATATTTCTTTCAAATATATACACCTGAGCCTCAACTCTCGCGGCCTGGACCAGACGACTCACAGACCGGTCCCTGGCCCGGGGGTTGGGGACCGCTGACCTAAGTGATGCAGGAGTCTGTGACACCCAGCAACACCATCTCAAACAATGGCAAACTACTAAATCACAGGACTGTTTCTCAGTGTTTCCATACCTTGGTGTTGAAATGTTTACTGATGCAGCGGAGGATGTCCTGATCAATGCGGTTCAGAATCTTCTCTGGAGGGGCGTTCGCAGCCACCTGACCGTAGCACAGGATTAATGTGCTTTTCACCTTCTCCACCTCGACATCATTACGCTCCTGAGGTTAGACAAGAAAGGAATAAC